AAAACAGTTTGAAAATTCCAAAATAGGATTGCCAAGTTTTTTATTCCCAAAATAGGAGTAATTACTGCCATGTTTGGAAAATACTGTCATGTTTGAAGTCTGGTACTGCCAAAACATGACAGTAATTAATCCTATTTTGGGAATAAAAACATGGCAGTCCTATTTTGGAATTTTCAAACCTTTTTAGTCCTATTTTGGGTAATATCTCTTTTAGTATTAGGATGTTTTCTCATTTGCGTTTAAAGTCAAAGTAGATAAGATCTAACTACACTTAAACAAATCAGATCAAACAAGAATGACTTAACATCCCATACCAACTTACACATAAAATAACGGTAAGTAAGTACTTCTCAACCCTATAAAATAATATAATTTGTCAAAAATAATTTTTATACATTACCATAACTTTGAAAATTCATCTACTCTTCAATAATACTACTTTTATGTTTAAAATAACATCTATCATTCAAAAACAACATTTGTAATTTAAATAACCATTATAAGCTTTAAATGGTTCAATATAACTCGAAAATACCTTTATAGTGTTGTTTTTTTTAAACTGAACAATTCACATCTCCATATAGGAGTAAAGTATCACTTTTTTAAAAAGGATTTTCCAAAATTATCTTTTATAACTAGGATATCATTGATTTATACTTATTCACATATAACTCTCCAAAAGCGTTTATATTTTATTACTTTTTTCCACAAAACATATCCAACTTAGGTTAATATCCAGGGTGGCTATCGGCACGTTCGTTATGAACATATTGTTCATAAATTACTCTAAGGATCCTTTTGAACTTGTAGTTCATAGTTTACTCAAGATTTCATTATGAACTTAGGGGTTCATATATTACTCAAATTGTCATACGGTCAAGCCCGTTTAAGGAGCTTTTGGGTTAGATTTTTTGATGACATTTTGTGAAAATGTCTTCAAGAAATTTGAGCTTAAAATTCAATCGGGAAATCAGTTAAATAAATTATTGAAAAACATTGCATTTTTATATGAAGTGTAGGCGCAATATTAATATATACTTCCTTTGTCCCATAAAATTCTTCTCACTTATCAATTTGGGATGTGCAATTTTTTTCTCACCTTTTTTTTGCAAAGTTTGGTGCGGTTAAAATTCATTTACTTTTCATTACTCAATCACAATCATACATTTTCACTTTATTCATACTTTTTAAATTAAACTCTGGTTTAAGTCAAACTAGAAGATTTCTATGGGACAGAGAGAGTATTTAAAAGTAATACTTCGTATTATGGTAGTTTTATAGTATTGTACGAAGCAGTTATTAATGAGTTGTTAGCAGGAGCGGAGCCATCATTGTTCAAAACTATTCACATGAACACCCAAAAATCTGAAAAAAGTGTAACTATACATGAATAAATTTAGTGCAATTATTTAATGCTCTTTAAATTCTTGGTCGTAAAAACAAATTGAACACCCAAAATGGAAATTCAAAATCCGCCACTGGTTGTTAGCTGCCTCATGTGTCATGTATTAATGTGCATACAGAACTGTGAAAGTATTATACTCCATATATATTCTTTTAATTTATAATCAGTCATTTAATCTTAGATTTCCAGATTAGTAGATTCGCAACCCTGGACTTTTTAGAATTATAGTGTAACATATGTGCATGCTTTTTCGAAAGAAAACAACTTACTTATTATTTTTTTTGAAGGAAAGAGAATTAGTTATCATTGATGGCATCATTGTTTAGTACATGTAAAATAAACATAGGAGGAAAATCAAACCAACAAATGCTATCAGACATAGAACAAGCTGCTTGCGCCAGTGCATGAGCCGCTCTGTTCGCTGACCGCCTAATGTGAGAAAAAGAAATCTCAGAAAAGTAAGACCGAAGTTCTCTAATATCCTCAGCCAAGATCCCAACAGAAGAAACACTCGAACCATCCCGAATTTCCGAGATTGCCTTAGAAGCATCAGACTCTACTTCGATCCAATCCCATCCATTCTCTTTCACCCAACTGAGAGCTTCCCGAATACCGACTAATTCCGCTTCCCAAGGAGATAGAAATCCCTGCCAAGGTTTAGAAACACCTGCTACAAAACTGCCATCCTCATTTCTAAGAAGCCATCCCAGCCCGATACCACTATCCTTGAGTGATGCATCGACATTCAACTTTAATCTCCCTGGCCGAGGGCGCTTCCAACACACCGCCCCCTTCAAGCTTTGAGCTACCCGCCTCCTCCCTTGCTGCTGCGCCAGAGTCCAGCTCTCAACAAAAAATTGTGACTTCAAAAACACAAACTTTGCATCAGTTCGTACTCCGTTCCAAACCCGGTTATTCCTTTCACACCACAACCCCCAACACCCTGAAATCAGTTTTCACAAATCATGCTCCCTCTTGGCCTGAAACTCTCGCTGCAATTGCTCCATGAAGTCAGCCGCCGCACCAGACACCCACTCCCACCTCATAGCCCGCCAAACCTCACAAGCAACAGAGCATGAGTGGAATAAATGCTGCAGCGATTCTTCAGCTCCTCCACACAACCCACATCTTTCATCGCAACTAACTCTCCTCGACCTTAGATTTGCAGTAGTTGGCAGAAATCCACAACACAACTGACAGAAAAAGCTCTTGATTTTAGGGGGGGAGCTTCCATCCCCACATCACAGCCCAACTTGTCCAAGGACCCGCCTGCAATTCGCCAACCAAAGCCCGATAACAGCTCCGGACTGAGAACCGCCCAGAATCCTCCCACCTCCAACAAATTTTATCCGGAACATCCCTATAACTGATTGGTATCCCTTGGATAATTTGTGCATCCCGCTGGTCGAACAGGTCGCGAAGGATATCCCCATCCCACTCAGAACCGTCTGCAATCCGCAAGCTAGCAACCTTTGTCGTTTCCAATCCCAGGACTGAGACTGAAATCACCTTTGGATTGCTCCTAATTGGAAGCCAAGGATCACTCCAAATGTTAATGTCGCTTCCTCGACCTACACGTCAGAAATAGCTGCTACGAATGATATCTTGGGTCTGGAAAATACTCTGCCAAATAAAAGAGGGGTTAGAACCAAGCTCAGTAGTTAAAAAATTCCCTTCCCGGAAATACCGCGCTTTATAAACTTTCCCGACTAAAGTTTCTGGTTCAGAAAAAATTCACCAAGCCTGTTTAGCAAGCATTGATAAATTAAACTCACGCAGCTTCCTATACCCCATCCCACCATACTTTTTAGGCCGACATAGAAGATCCCAACTGCACCATCTGATTCCTTTGTTTGACTTCCCCTGCCACCAGCATCCATTCATCAGAATTTCAATCTTACATAAATCTTTCGGGAGCATAAAAACATTCATCGCATAATTTGGCATTGCCTGGATAACTGACTTAAGTAACACCTCCCTCCCAGCTCTCGAAAGAAAACGATTATTCCAATTCTGGATACGATTAACCATCCTTTGCCTCAAAAAAGAACCGCCCTTTTATTCCTCCCAATTAGAGCCGGCAAACCCAAGTAAGGATGTTTTTACTTGGACTGTAATTTGTTGGTCTGGTCTGGTCTGATCTGGTCTTAACTGGTCTGGTCTGGTCTGGTAAAGTCTGGTTTCTTTGTATTTTTATAACTATCCAAGTCTGGTCTGGTCTGCTCTGAACTGGTCTGGTCTGAATTGGTCTGCTCTGGTCTGGAACAAATTACAATCCAAGTAAAAACATCCTAAAACTCGTCATTACTCGCCTGCCCCACGCCCAACAAATCCATTAAACCTTCCTTATAATCTGCCGTCACGTTTGGATTGAAGAAATTTTTTGATTTATTCAAGTTGATTACCTGGCCAGAGGCAGAAGCATACTCGCTCAGAATTTCCTTCACACTGGACGCCTCACTATGATTTGCTTTGAAAACAAACAAACTATCATCTGCAAATAATAAATGGGAAATTCTAGGAGCACCTCTAGCAACTACAATGCCCAACTTATTTATTATTGATGGACGTGATTCTTTTCATTATTTTTGCAGCTAGTATGTATCGTGACATTACTAAGGGGCTGTTTACTTTTTTCCATTAAGTTCTGTCTGGATTAAGACGTCTGTATGGATTAAGAGTCTGTTTGGATTAAGTGAATTTAAGATAACAAGTTGTTTACTTTATACACAGAATAAGTAATCTGAATGTGCTAAATAACCATTTTACCCTTTTGTCCACCACAAGTGTTTGAGTTCGTATTCTCTAGCAAATTCTTCCAATAGTATAAGCTTTGTGCAACCCCCAGTCAAAAAATTACCTAAACGAAGAGAAATTTGCTCAAGAAATGCAAAAAAAATAATTTAAATTGCACCCATGGGATATATGATCAATGGGATACTCATCCCAAAAAAGTAAATTTGACAAAGCAACCAAATTGGATACTCGTTTAACAATTTGACCAGTTTAAATTGCACCCAAATTAAAATTCCAATCAAGATTAAACAATTGTTATTGCACGGTAATGAATGGATAGAAAATTAAAAAATGCTATGGGCAGAAAAATTGGGTGTGCGACAACAAAAACTAGAAATTTAATTTCTATCCTAACAAACGATTTTGAGAATGAAGAAGGTCGGCCATGAAAGCTTTCTTTGCTGGTGTGCTTGGCTGATTTTTTGACAGGAGAAGAAGAATTCGTTGTAACTTGCAAAGTCCAGCAATAAAACTCCCTTCGCGTCAGAACGAGGATAAAAAAGAGATCATCGATCGATTTATATGTCTGAATAGCAAGGAGTACTAAAATGGTGCTGAACGAATCAGACATAAAATGACTTAGCAAATAAGTCAATTTTTTAGTAAAGTCCTATGTAAACACAGTCATATAGCTGAACCATTAAGTTGGAGTCTCCATTAAGTCCATGAAGTCCTAAGTAAACAACCCCTAAATGTTACTCCGTACATCATAGTAGTTTCTTTTGGTTGCTTTCTGGCGGGTATACTCGGCCCATTTTTAAAACCCATCAAATCCTAATGGGCCGGGTCTGGAGGTGCGCCGAGAGGTCCGTTGCCATAATTACTTCTCTTAATTTCTCTCATTCTTACCCACATTTGATCTGAATGGCCGATAACATCGAAGAAGATAAAGGAGCTGCGGCGAACATCTCAACAATGTCGGTAACGGAAACGCCGAAGGCCCATGAAACTTCTTCTGAATCACCGAAGAAGCCCGTGAGTTTCACCTTCTCCATCTGGCCGCCGACCGAGAAAACCCGTGACGCCGTCATCAATCGCCTCACCGAGACAATATCGGCGCCGTCCATTTTATCCAAGCGTTACGGCGTCATTCCACAGGAAGAGGCTTCGGAGATCGCGAAGCGTATCGAGGAAGAAGCTTTCAACGCCGCTGCAGAGTCAGCCGGATCTGTAGATGGGGACGATGGTTTGGAGGTTCTCCAGGTCTACTCCAAGGAGGTCAGCAAGCGTATGCTAGACACCGTCAAGTCCAGATCCGCTACTTCGCCGGTGCCGGAGAGTAAACCGTCGGAGATTGATGAGAAGTCCGACGCTCCCCCTGCTAACAGTGATGAGATCCCAGTCGCTGAGGCCGAATCCTGAAATGCAAATGAGGTTTTCTAGGGATTCTATATATCAATTTGAGATCTAATTTGTGTTCTCCTTAGATTCAAACACCACTGTTTATGTCTATCAGATCTATTCAAACTTCTCTATTTCAATTTTATGCTTGTCTATTTTTATGCTATATTTGTCTCTGCGTATGGCAGACTTGAGAAACTTGTATTTCTAATTGTGGGTTTTCACCAGAACCTGTTAATGTGCAGCATATCATCATCATAATATAAATTAAACATTGAAATTAGATGGTTTTATTTGCAATTTCAGACTGCACTGACTGGAAAGAAATTGGAAATCAATTCCAATAGAAATTCCAAAGCCTTTTGGTTTCTTTAATTTCTTACCAATTACTGCCTATTTACTGGTGTGTTTTATCACAGTTTCTTAATTAGTTGTCATAAACAAAAAAAACACCCTACTAATTAGTTGTCATCAATTTTTTTTTAGTTGTCATAAACAAAAAAGCACTTGAGGCTGTGTTTGGTTACAGGAAAATGCTAGTGAACGGAAAGAAGATGCTAGTAGGTTAATTAGCTGTTTTCTCGTTTACTCTAGAAAATACTAATGGGGACATGGGGTTGTTTCACTTGTTTGGCTCTTCGGCTCTGGTTGTATGGTCAGGGACTCTGGTGGAATGTAATTTTGGGCCAGCATAGTTTTTCCTGCAAACTGAAAGCATAGTGTTTCTAGATCAAATTAGTTAAAATGCACACGATGGGGCATATTTTATAGAAATAATTCCAAATATATAACCAAAATATAAGTAGTGGACAGAAATATGACTTTGGTAACTTAAGTGACTATAATTGTATTAAAGTGTTACATCATAGTGACCATAAAACCTACACATAGTAACTTATTGTTACTTTTTTGTCCACAAGTTTTAAATTAGTAATATTTTAGGAAAAACCTCGATTTTATATTCAGAATAATCTGTGTTAATTGTTATGATGGAGCTCTATTTGCTTCATTAGCCAGCTTTTTCATCAATTTTTGTTTTGGGCGTTGAAATTTTGTAACCATCAGAGTAACCTTTGTTGCATCCATTATGAAGTGCGCCATTATTTCAGCCCAAATGAATGAGTCATACTTCTCTCCATTTCCTTCTCTCCATTTACTCTCTCCATTTCTTTTTCACTCTATCTCTCTTCTTAAAAAAATAATTAAACCCCATCTTTTTTTTCTCCCTACCCCACCATTTCCCCATCTCACTCTATCTCTCTCCTAATGGAGAACTCCAGGAGAGGAGCTAAATTCCAAATGAAGTGGTGCATAGTGATAGCAGCAACCCATATTCACCGTTAGTTGGGTGATGATTGATGAAGACTTTTTCCATCATAGGAAAGGTAGTCATTAAGGATGATTTTACTTAAATGTTTTTAGTTCCAGATTTGATCAGATCAAATTAAATCAGACTTAAATAAATTAGATCAGACCAGACTTCTGTAGTTGTAGAGTACACAGACATTGTACATCACCAGATTAGATTTAAACAAACCAAGCTAGATTATCAAATTTTAGTCCAGGGAAACATTTTAGGGTGAAGGCTCAAAAAGGATATTAAGGTTATTTACAAAGTTCGGATTGGACACTCAACTTTTAAATGGAGCAATTTAACACATAAATACATCATTTGAGCAATATTTGGCCACTGACCAACATTTCCGTTAAAGCCCAACGTCAAGTCATCAACCATCGTTGATTCCACACCTGAAGCTACAAATGAGACCCAATAGATTACAGTTACACTCGTAGATGTTGAATCAATTCACATCTCCATTGTCGTTCCTTCTATGAGTCACAAGACCAGACCCTTAGGGCCTGTTTACTAACAGAGATATTTTCCTGTTTTCTACTTCTGTTTTTCGTTCTCCAATTTTCTGTTTTTATTTTTCAGTTTTTCTATCTCCAATTTTCTGTTTCTAGTTTTTAGTTTTCCATTTTCAAATTTGAAAACATGTTCATCAATTTTTTCACACAGTTCTCCAATTCCACACCCGTGACCCCTACCTCTACCCTTACCACGATCTTACACTCTACCCATACTCCACCACAACCCTTCATACCTACCCATACCTACTCGTAGGGGTCAGGGTAGGGAAGTTATGGGTGGGGGTGGGGTAAGGGGTATGGTCGGGGTGGGGTGGTAAGGTCTAGGGGTAGTGGATGGGTTAGGGTCGTGGTCAGGGTTAAGGGTGGGGTAGTGGGTAGGGTTGGGGTAAGGTAGGGGTAGGGTAGGGAGTTGGGATAGGATGGCGGTAGGGTGGGGTCGGGACCAGGGTGGGGCCGGGGTAGGGAAGGGTTAGGGTGGGGGTAGGATGGCGATAAGGGTGGGGGTAGTGGGTAGGGTTTGGGGTAAGGTAGGGGTAGGGTAGGGAGTTGGGATAGAATGGCGGTAGGGTGGGCCCGGGATCCGGGTGGGGCCGAGGTAGGGTAGGGTGGGGGTGGGGGGTAGGATGGCTGTACGAGGGTGGGGGTAGGATGGCGGTACGAGGGTGGGGGTAGGATGGCGGTGGGGTGGGGCCGATGTAGGAGGCATGTGGTAGGGGTAAGATAGGGGTAAGTGGTAATATATGAGGGGTGGGGGGTAGGGTAGGGTGGGTCGAGGTGGGGTCGAGGTGGTAGGGGTGGCGGTAGGGTAGGGTGGATCGAGGTGGGGTCAAGGTGGTAGGGGGGTGGCGGTAGGGTAGGGTGGGTTGGGGTGGGGCGGAGGTCGGGGCATGTGGTGGGGGTGGGGTAAGGTCATTATAGGGAAAAATGGGTACGCGGGGGGGGGGGGGGTAGGGTGGGTAGGGTAGGGGTAAGGGGTAAGATACGAGGATGGAGGTACCGGAATGGAATCGACATCGGAGCGGGACCGGGGACCCACCACTAGGTGTAAGTATGCAAATTCATTGCAAAGACACTGTAGCATCTGCGTTTTCCAAATTTGGAAAACTAGCAAAAGTCACTTCTCCAAATCATTAAGGAAAAGAGAGACATGTTTCATTTTTTCCGTTTTGGAAAACGATTTTGTAAACGCGTTTTTCTTTTTTCTTTTCTCCAGTTTTCCAGGAATTTTTTTAGTAAACACGTTTCCTGTTTTCTGTTTTCCAGTTTTCCAGTTTTCTGGAAAACTGGAAAATATTTCTGTTAGTAAACAGGCCCTTAGTTTTCGGCATTTACATTCTTGGAATATGATCAAAATCTTTGTTCCCGGCTATTGTCGTTGTCTGAGAAGAAGGTGAATCCCAAGCCAGTGTTGTGTCTGAGAAGAAGGTGAATTCCAAGCCAGTGTTGTTAACACCCTGCACGTAGGTATAAAACGCTCCTTGGCCGCTGATGGATCTAACGTTGTAGCGGAATATTATACTCCTTCTATGAGTAATTAATATTGAAAGAGTTGTATCCTCTGACCGGATTCATTCTGTAATTGCTGAAACTCCTCTCAGCACAGGCACAGACGACATACATGATGTTATCAATGTGCTTTTTTCGAGGTTCGGATTCATGTCGAGGAAGCGGAGCAGATTAGCAGAGGAGCAAAATCCGATTACCTGAGCGACGAGCAACTTCTATCTCACTGCTAGATTTGGAAGGTGACCTACTACGTAGCTCTCAATAATATGGCTTGAAGGGGTTTAATTCGCAGGAGCCCCATCATCAAATTAAAAACACCAAAACTCTAGCACACAAATGACTGATAAGAAACATGTTTCCTTTTTACAAGAAGAGAGATGTACATTAAGAAAATTACACTAAATGATAAAGACCAAAAGAGGAGAAAGCTAGTGGGGGATATAGGTGCAGCCAGAAGGGGAGGCATAAGGCATGCACATTTGGGCAGATAGGATTAACGTGGGGAAGTTTCTGTTAAACTGAAATGTTATGGGGTGGCTAAAAATTGCCCAAATAAGTTACTTGTGTGTTTATTTGATCCATTTAAAAGGTGAGTGTTCAATTTGAACTTCGTGAATAACGTTGGTGTCACTTTTGAGCCTTCCCCCAACACTTTAAGACCTGCATCAACAGAAGAATATCCCCACTGAAGCGAAGAAGACACAAAGTTATGAAATAATGAAGCGTACATTATCAAGTCTTTGAATTTGTTTGATACTAGTATATATTTGTATTATCTACTCAACTATCAGCCTTTAGCCACCGAATATTTGAATTGACTAAATTTGTTTAATTGTAGAGTACTCCGTATTATATTTAAAACATTTTTTGATAAATTAAAAAATAATTATATGAGAATAACTTAAATGGGCATTTAGAGTAATTTTAGATGATTCAATAAAAAAAGTAACTTTAATTTTACTTATTTTTGTTATTGCATAATCAACGCGCGGAATCAAAAGTTGTACAAAACAAATTTTTAATAAAATTGAGGAAAAAGGTTCAAATAAGCCCTTGTATTATTTCCAAATTGTCATTTAAGCCCATGTACTAAAAAAGTATCATATAAGTACGTCTACTTTATAAAATGGATCAATTCGACCATTTATTAGCTTTTGACCTGTAATAGCAACCTTTTAATATTTAAAAACTCTAAAAAAAAAATAAAATTTTGAAGATATATATACAAAAATTGTGAAAATTTTTCAGAATATCAGAGTCATTTTTTTAAAAAAGTTTTTATTTTGTCTTTTTGTATTTTCACATTATTTTTTCACTTTATATTTTTTTTACTTTAATGTTTTTAAAATTTTATCTAATTTTATATTTATACTGAATTTATATTTTTATTAGATTATTTAATCAAATTTATGAATTTTTGAAAGATCTTTCAGTATTCCTAATTTAATTTTTTAAAAAATAACCTGCTATAGCAGGTCAAAAGGCTTGGCTGCTTACAACAAAGGCTTCTATAACAAAATTTTAGCATCCAAGGAGCTTCAGAAAGGGCTGGCAATCGAAGAACTTCATGTTGGGTGCGTTCTCAAAAAACAAAGAAAATTAATTAATTAAATTAATAAAAATAGCCAAAGAAAAACAGAAAAGAGGTGGAAGAGAAAATAGTCAAAGCTTGTACAACACACATGTCCTTAAAACGTATTTGTTGTCTCTCACGGTGCTAAGAGCGTTGCATTGATCGTTTCTCAGGATATGATGAGTGATGACTACGAACAATCGTTGAACACACAACAGGTTGTTCCGACGAACGAAAACAAGGACTGAACACTCAAGATTTTTCAGAGAGAAGTGAATGTGTTTTTAGCTCTAAAACGACGTGAGGAATGTGTATGAACGTGTAAGTTCGTGTGTTGTTGTACAACAACTATCAGCTTGTTTATAGGGAATGATGTGTTGTGTATTAAGTGTGTCTTCATGAACTTGGTCGTTGGACATCAA